GGCTGCCCTGCCTTCGTGCTGAGGCCACACGACAGCTTGGCCGGGTCCGCGGAGATGTGCCGAGCCCACAGCCAGGGCAGGAGAGCTCGCCTGGTCCAGAACCAGCTCTTTTCGGGATCGTTTTACTGAAAACAGGGGTGTTCTCACAAGCGATGCTGGAGGGTCAGCAACCACTGGCAGCAAAGACTGCTTTCCCAGCTACTTTATTCTCATAGACAAGTGGATCTTGCTCAGAGCCCTTCCAAAGCAACACAAAGCCCAGAAAGGCGATGTTTCCGGAGAAAACACGCCCACGTGGAGAAGCAGCTCTGCAGTTACCACCGCAGACCCTTAACTCCGCATCCTACCTTCCACCAGAGCAGTAAGGGTCACCATTTCCCCAGACAACTTCAGCCAGATATCTACCCAGCGTTACTATGCCCTACGCTGACCGGTAAAAAGGGCACTCAGCTGGCTCCTGCAGAGCTCCGTCTCCAGGTGGTTGTGCTGCACTCGGTGTTTCCCATCACAGATTCTTCACCGGCAATTCGTAACCTCCAGCAAGACCAAGAGCCCTCACAGTGACCAACGGCTCGTTTGATTCCGTAACGCGATTCCACAGAACAAGTATTTGCTGCTCAGTTCAGGAATAACCATTCAGCTGTCTGCTGTGCCCACCTACGCCACGGCTCCAGCTTAAGCCTGTCAGATGTTGTACCCTTCCGGCACCTTCCTCCAACAAAACCACGGCTTCTCCTACATGGAAATATGTCAGGTCAAAACTGAGCGAACACCACGCATAAATACCCTGAATACTCCTGAACGCAAGGCAGGGACACCAGCGGGGGTTCACGGCATTCGCCTCGGGCACAGCACACAGTGACCTTTCCAGCACCCACCCCTTGAGATCTGCCACAAGCTGGTGCTTCCGTTTGGGGACAGGCTGAGAGACCGGCCGTGGGAGCAACGAAATGGCTTTCCACACCCGATGTCCTCTCGGCTGTGCCGCAGCCGGACACAGCCCACCGCACGTCTCAGCTGCTCTGGTTCCGAATCCAGCGCACGCGTGGAATCGTAGAGTCATTAAGGTTGGAAGCAACCTCTAAGATCACAAAGTCCAACTGTCTGCCCAACACCACCATGCCTACCAAGCCATGTCCTGAAGTGCCACATCCACGGGTTTTTTGAACCCCTCCAGGGATGGGGACTCCACCACTGCCCTGGGCAGCCTGGGCCAACACCTGACCACTCTTTCAGTAAAGAAGGTTTTCCCAATATCCAATCTGAACCTCCCCTGACGCAACTTGAGGCCATTGCCTCTCTTCTCCCAGGTAACCAGCGACAGGACGAGACCAACTCTCCCCTCACTACCCCCTCCTGTCAGGCAGTCGTAGAGAGTGATAAGGTCCCCCCTCAGCCTCCTCTTCTCCAGACTGAACAGCCCAGTTCCCTCAGCCGCTCCTCATCAGACTGGTTCTCCAGACCCTTCACCAGCCTCCTTGCTCTTCTCTGGACATGCTCCAGCACCTCCATGTCCTTCTTGCTGTGAGGGGCCCAAAACTGAACAACAGAAAACAACGGCAGTGCATCCTGACATGCCGTGACCACCACCCTCGGCTCTGACTGAGGAGCAAGCAGTTCCATCAGTACGTGGGCATCTAACAGGGACGCCCTGGGATACAAGGCCGCTGTCTCAGGGCAGCGTGTTTGACAGCAGGTCAGTTCAGCAGAAACCTTTAGCTACTGAACTTCAGGAAGCACCCCAACAGGCCAAGACAGGCCATCAAAGGAAATGTCAGAGTTGGCTTCCCACGTCCTGGCCCCCCTGGCCTCAAACCCTCCTAAGAGGTGGAAACAACTACATCAGCCAGCTCCCACCCGTAATCCTCACCAGGAGACAACACTATCTGGACTCCTACTGCTGTTATCTTCTTCACCGCATCTCTCATAGCATTTTAACACACTTCACACTGTTCAACCTCATCCTAGTGCCTACCCACCTGCCCTGTGGAGCACAGAGGAGTTTGGTGGAGAACTTCTGAGCGAGCACCAGAACAAACCCCTGACCCTCCCACGAGCATCCAGGGACCACGGTTCTGAAGGCCTTGCCCAAGTTGTCCATGCATAATGTATTAAAAGCTATCCATCTGCTTGTTTGAGGGACTGATCCGACACACGACTTACGAACACACCGAAGCCTGCAACCAGTTTCCCTCGGAGTGAAAGCTCCTAGGCTTTAAAACTTCTCCTCCAGCGCAGCTGCAGTTTAGCACAGCATGAATCTTCACCGAGCCTCAGACAACAGTTAACGAAGAAAGCCGAGGGAACTGCAGACACGGGAGGATCTTCTGCCAGGCTCAGAATCCTGAGTTGAAGGCGGAAGCGTTCCCCTGCGTGCTGCTTTCTTACAGACACAACATGCTTCAGGATCAAAACATCCTTCTCTATAATCCACCGTACAAGGCCAATGCTTCGGCATTTATTAATTAATGCATTAACCTCAGATGAATATGGCCAGATAAGGCTTTGCAAAGCACCACCAAGCTTTGTCTAATGAAGAAATTCAACAAAGCCCTGTAAAGTTTTTCCGTTGTCTTCCGGGCCACTCCAACTCAGCCACTGCCTTACGGTTCAGACCGAAGCAGTGCCACTTTTGGAACGCCACAAGCAAGAACTGCAGCGTGGCTGAGTTTGGAAGGGACCTCTGCAGACTGCCTGTGCCCAGCCCCTCTGCTCCACGCTGGGCCGACTACAGCAGGCTGCTCAGGGCTGTGTCCAGTGCAGTTTCTTCCCCTTTAGTCTTTTCCTTTACTTCATCTCTAAGAGGTCTTTCTGAATGAAAAGTTTTCTGACAACCCACCCCAAACCCTCCCATGAAACAAACACCTGAAGACCTAAGAACTCTCTGTGGTATCCAGCATTGGTGCTCCCCTCCAGTGATGCCAACGCGATCGTGAAAATCGAAAGGACGAGCTGGAACAGAACTACCTGCCCAAACGTCACGTCCTCTCAGCTCAGCCCAACCCCTCCACTCCCTCGGGGCTTGTCCGTGTTGGCCCACCCAGGTCTAAGGCTCACAGGCCCTGTGGTCCTGGGCATCACAAGGCAGCCTACGCTGCGCAGCACACGCACTCGGAAGGGAAGAGAGTATCTGATCATCGCTCCCATCTCCTCCTAGGCTGTAACGTTCAGTAACTTCAGCAGAAGTTTGAGGATAATATTTCAACTTACGTTAAACCCCTTTGTGACCGCACCAGAGAGAATGAGCATGACAGCAGGTCTTCTACTCAGCGTAAGTTATAAACCAGTGTCTTTTGACTTCCCGCTAACAGAAAGATACCAACCTATCTCTTGTCCCAAACGAGATGATTTCAGCGACCCCGCTGAGGACACGACGGCACAGCGACCCAGGTGGCCCACCGTCTCATTGAGGCTCCTCCCTGGCAGGTACTGCTGCCATTCAGGGGTATCGAAAGGACCCTCCGAGCCCTGGATCATGGTCACGTTCACCCTGTCCCGTAGCTGGCAGAGCAGCTCCTCCGGGCTGAGTTTAGCAGCGTTCCTCTTCCCGGTGTAGGTCACATCGTACTTGTTCATGGACAGGTAGTTTTTTCTGACCTTCTGCAGCCTGGGGATGAGATTTCTGGATGAACTGTCCTTATCCCACACCTTCAGAGAGTCTGCTGCTTTCCTGGACTTCTCGGCGGTTCCAGAGGTGCTGCCTTTTACTTTGTTGTGGTGACTAAACCAAGCCTTGGGTATCTGACCCAACTCACTGGCTGCTTCACGGAAGAGGCCCTGTGATTTAAGTGGGTTCCATTTTTCAGAAGTCCTGCGAACCTGCAAATCATCGTACTCAGTCTTGAAAGGAACATAGTAGCTTCTTCTTGTCTCTCTCCACAGGCAAACGGTCAGAGCGACCAGCACCACCACGAGAACACACACGAACTTTTTCAAGACATTGATGTGAACCATAGTGCACGGTGCATCCGGACGGGACTCCGAGCCCCAGGCAGGAGGCTGGTCCTGCAGAGAGGAACACGTCTCAGTCAGGGCTGCGGGCACAGGCACGCGTGTAATACAAAGTTATAAACATCGGTATGTGGGCAACGGGAGGGAAGAGGGAGAACTTGGCTTCCATTCCCCTCCGCCGGTGACGGCCAAGCTTAGCACAGCCAGTGCCACACCAGCGGCAGCGCGAGCCTCCGCCCTGCTCTCCTCCGGCTCCCACCCAGCCCGCCAACATCCAAACCCCACCACCAGCATGTCCAGAACCGGGCTGCTACCCAACCACAGGCACGGACGCTAACGAAGCACATAACGAGGCGTGTAACTGTTGAAGCAAAAGCCGCAAGCTCACAAACGCCAGGAGCTTCGCCAGCACTGACACGCTCGGGGACCTCACGGGAAACTCCTGCGAGCTCCAGTGGGCTGAGCGCACCCCCAGCGCCGAGCCTCACCGAACAGCTAATTGCTGGGAGCCAATTAATCCACAGCAGGGTTTCAGGCACGCTTGGGTTCATAAATGCACTTTGCTAAACATTACTCGAGGTACATCACCCCTGGAGAAAGCACAGCCAGACCGTGTTGCACAGCACTGCCTGTCCTCTTTCGCTCTACCACCACCTCCCACCGTGCCATGACAGGGGGCAACTCAACAGCAGGAGGGCCCAGAGGGCAGCTCCACCGAGGCAGCGCAAGGGGCCGGTGCAGGCAGCGTACGCCGAGGGAGAAACCCCTCGTCAGCGGCACAGGGACCACGGAGGACAGGGGGGCAGCTGGTCGCTTCGCTGCTCCGGGATGCATCCAAGAGCACGGAAGCCGTGTAGATACACCAGCCACCCCAGCGCTCCCCAGGAGACACACATATGCAGATGCTACCCGGCCTAGAGAGACCCTAGGGACAACCCCCTCCGTGAGCGACTTGCCGAAAGCAAGCTGTGGTACTGCGGAGCCAGCGAGCTGCCAACACGCTACCTGGTGGATAAAGCCGCAGCTCTCCAGCTCAAGTCATTCTTGGCTGTTGGCAGGTTTTCTTCCGAGGGTTTAAGCGGGGTATCCCAAAACACAACAGTTCTGTGACGCACTGAAGAGTTCAAGAAACACCTGCAAAACAAAGAAAAGAGTGGGGAAAAAAAAACAAACCCTGTTATGGAAGAACCTCGTGATTCTGGGGATGAGCAAACACTTTCCCACGTGAGCCCTGCGGTCCCACGAAAGCCGTTACCCAGGCATGGAAGCCCTAGCAGCAAACACACTGACACCACGTAAACCTTTTAGACGGTTAAATGCCCACTCAAAATGGCCATCTCCTGACCTTCCTTCTTAGTCTGAAACCTACTCCCAGCTAAAGCAGGAGCCGGGTCGCAGGCTGCCTGCCCCGTGCTCCCACCAGACCCACAGTCGACACCGAGCAGCTGATACGCCCACCACACAGCGGAGGCAAAATCCCAGTGCCGATGCTTAACACCACGGAAAAGGAAAGAAAAAGCTAACTTTTCCTAGGGAAATATCTTACTGCCTGTTCTTGGGCGATTCACGCACTCCTTCTCCAGGGCAGGGGCAGGAGAGGTTCCCCGCTGTTGGAAGCGAGCCGTATGAAAAGCTGCTTTATGACATACATCTTAATCCACAGGTCTGCACAAACCAAAGGGATTTCTGACCGTACAGCTTTACGACGCAAACACGGCAAGCGAAAGGGAGATTTCACAGTATCATACAATTCAAGAAGCAGCTCGCTTTTGCAGGAACTCTGAGTCAGTACAATGCCACATAAGCTAAATTACAAATGCTACCCTTCACAGGATTAAATACTAAATTATTAAAGCGTCCTAATGCTGACTACTTACATTTTGTTTTAACTCTATCACGGAACTTGACTTGTTTTCTTACAGACCACCCCACAAGCAAAAAGCAAACACTGTTGTACCTCCGGTCCTTAAAAAACACCACCACTAAAGATTCAAGAAGCGCAGGTAATTCTAGCTTTTACCAAAAGAGTTTCCCCTGCCTTGGCAGACCATCCCACCCTTCGTTTCCTTGAGCAGCAAGCGCTAGCCAGGCACGCCGCAGTCTGTGTGGCCAGCGTGGCCTCAGACGCAGAGGTGGGCAGCCCTGGGAAGGGGCTGGGAGGAGGGGATGCCGCACGTCCCCGCGCTCTCCTCCCGCGAGGGCTCAGAACAGAGCCACGGGAAGGCAGGAGACAGCAAACCGCGGGCAGGACGGAGCCTCCCCACCCGGAGCTGCCCCGCCAAGCAGAGCCCCGCGGATCTGCCGCGCTTTTACCTTCAGAAACCTCTCCCGAGGGGTTTCCAGGTGTAGCTGGCAGCAGGCGCGTCTCGGCACCACCAGCTTTTGCCTCCCACGGCTGGGATGTT